AAACAAGGGGAAAAAGCACAAAGTCCTGTAGGGAAATTTGTCGTAGATAAGTGGGAGGAAAAACATTGCTTATCAGAAGCCTTCCTGATTAAGAGAAATCTTATCACACATTAACTCCAACCTCACCTTTACTATTTGGCACCGTGTCGAAATTGTCCAAGATTAAAAGGCTATTTATGTCGTACACATATGCTTTGTCTTGTAAAATGACAATGAGTCTGCATTAGATAGAAATGAAGTCGGATAAGATTATTCTTAATGGTAAAAAACTTATTCTGATCAGGTCCTTAGACTTTATGGATTTTATTTTAGTGTAAGTCTGGTTTCCATTTTGGAAGGGCCAAAAGCAATTCTAAAGGTGTAAAATTGATTTCGGCTAAAGCTAGGATTCTTCAACTCACGCTCAAATAAATGAATCCAAACATAAATCACTTTAATTCAACCCACTTTTAACCAGAATTAATTTTACAAAATCAAAATTCACTCAGAATCAATTCTCATCACCACAGAACCAAACACACACTTAATAATTACAAAAGAAATTTCAATGCAAGACGTAAACTATCTCACAAAGTAAGCTCCTCAAACCAAATCAAATCAAATTGTGGAAAAAATAAGAATATCAGTCTGTATAGCTGTAATGTTATTTACTTAATTCCAAAATACGCAAAAAAGAAGCATATAGCAGTGCAATATTAAGCATTAGGGTGCATGTATGACCTTTTTCGATTCATTCGAATAGCTAGTATTGAAGTAAGAAAATTCAATTCTCTAAGAGGAGCTCCAGTAGTAGTATTGAATAAACATAGACGGCGAGGCGACAAAGATGGCTGCATAGGTTAAAACAATAAAAATCAAATCTGAAAGATAAGAGAAACCCCTAAACCAAATAAACATACTTATTAGCTACGAAGCACTGACACCCCAAACATGACCCCGACACTAACACAGCTGCATACTAATATACCTGATCACCAGCACCAACAATAGCAAGAAGGCTTGAAGTAAACAGCATCTCAACAATAGAGAAGGCACCAACAGCTACAGATAAGAAAAAAAACTGTCAGAAAAAGTAAGATTGTAATTATGATAATTGAATTGAAGAAATTGGTATTAGAATTAGTACCTCTTTCATAACAGAGTTTTCCAGTATTGGTATCAAATATTCTGAAACCATCTTTGGTTCCAATTGCAAAGCAACTGAAAAGAATGAATTAATGGGTGAAGTTGTTTGTGAAAGGAGAAACAATTTAGAATGAATGAAGAAAATAAGGGGGAAAAGAATCGACCTATTGTCTTGGTTGAATGAAGCGCAAAGAATGGGAGATGGCGATGATGATGATGATGATGATGACGACGACATTGGATTGATTGCTTAATGATTGAATTCAATGGTTGTTTTTCTCCTTTCGTTGTGTTGTGTGCGTAACAATGATCATCATTAGGGAACACCTTCCTTCGAGTCAAACGTAAGATAGAAAACTTCGGTTCCGTGGTTTTTTGTTTTATTCTTTTTTGAAATTTTTAAAAATTTAAGAAACACTTAAGAGTTTAATGTTATGAATTGACATGTTAAACTTAGACTTAGGTGGTTTTATGTTTTATGTTTTTAGTAAAACTATTTTACACTCATCTAATAAAAATTTATTACTTGACTATACATATCATTAATTTAAATTTTATAATCTGATTTAATAGAATACAAAAAGGTGATTGAGATTGTAAAATTAATTTAATGTCAATGCATATTTTTTTTTTCTTTTGGTTCATGTAATATGAAAAGAGTTTATTGGTTATACATTGATTTTACAAAATAATTTTAGACTATCATCCAATAGAAATTTATCACTTAATCATGTTATAACAGTAACTTAAAAATTACCGCTCAAATAGGCCTTCACCTCAGTGTCGTTGGGTTTAGAGTTATTGATCTGCAGGCAAAGCTGGATAAAGCTTTTGGCACATTCCCTCCTTTGGTTGTTAGTTTGTATTTCATCCTCTATTAAGATGGGAGGGACATTGAGACCTTGACACGATTCACCTCTTCACAGACATTTGATAAAAGGGCTTCTAATGAACTAGATAAAAAAAATTCTTTCTCCAAGCAATCCCCAAATACCCTTTCCGAGTCAGAATCGTCAAATAAAGATATGACTTTTAGTTCCAAGAGAATTAGGTCAAGAGGGTGGAGTTGAGAATCAGGGGATGTCCCCATTATTGAGACAGACAAAGTTTCTCCCTCATAATCGCTCACTAGGTTAATCGTTTTATCACTCATCCTGACTAGAAAACAGCAAATGTTGAAGATGAAAGTTTGAGTTTAGGATTGTACCTAGTTATGTAAGATTGATGAAGTAGAAGAAATGAATAAAGGATATACTTTGACCACAAAATTGTAATCGTCTTTGTGAACGCTCTCAGGATGAAATAGGCAAAACTATATGTGAATGAGCTTGAATGTCAAAGATCGCAAAAAATTTCCAAAACGCTCGACTCCTCCTATTTAAGAACAAAGATTATTTGAAGGTCTTAATCAGCTGAAGAAAGGAGTTATGAAATCAACGACTAGATTCCTCCTTGAAAGTACATGCAAACCAAGTGCACTCGAGTACATTACAAGTTGCGTCATGTTTTAACTTGTCACGTTAACGCACATGCCAAAAGAAGGAGAAGAAACGTCGCAATGATAAAAATGCATTTAATGTGCTAGTTTCCCACTACTTTTTCAACTGACCCCAAATATTTTAGGTATAGCTCACCATAGGAAGCGTCTCAAAAGTCGACTAAAATTGCTAAAGGCTTCCCCGACTCACTCAATGCCCGGCAAAGCCTTGAGGGCAATTGTTTTTGGCCAGCTAAATACTCATATAGCCAAGGTCTAATTCATCTCAAATCAACTTCACTCAGTCTAAGGTATAAAGGCAGTACTCACGAGAAATAAGGTGCAATTTCTGGTCTCCACTTTCATATGATACTCATCCTCAATCTTGAACTAACTTAAGTGTTGGAATGTTAACCATGCAATTTCACCATGCGCCACCGTGATGAAGATCAACATCACCATTTTAAGGCATCTAGTTCATCAACTGCAACCATTTTTGGTTCCTAAACGGAACAATAGTATGATTGTTATATTATATTTTAGTACTTTGAATTAAAATACAAGAATAAAGTTTAGTTATTTTGAAAGACTTATAAAAATAAGCTTAAAAAATTATGAACAATGTCATAAGTTGTTTTCATAAGTTCTCTCAAACAAATAGTCTCACAAAATTTATGTTATTAAATAAATTCATATAAGTCAATGCAAACAAATATTTAATCTCATTGGTCTTTTAATTTTTTAGTCTATTTAAACGTTAGGTAAATTGTTTATTTACATATACTTAAATGAAACAGACTTTTAAGTAGGTTAATACGTCAACCAAGTCTTCGAAAAGACTATACTCGAATCTAAAAATAAGTTTACAATAGGTTACAAATCATGCTTAAACTTTGACTTTTTTACTAGGCTTTGGCTTGAAGAAGTTTTTTCGGCCCAACTTTTTCTCACCACTAACTATCATTATGACCACTGACGACAATCGTGTTTATCACCACTAACGACCGTAGTGACCATTGTCGACCACCACTCTAAACATTGTGGATCACCGATCAAACTACTAGTCACCACCATCGATTATCATTTTAACCATCACTTTTGCTATCGTAAACAATCATTAGTCATCACCATCAACTATCATCACTTTGACAATCAACAATCATCGCTCTTACTCACGACAACGGAGAACCACCACTTTTAACAACTACTATTAAAAAAATTCTATAATATTTTAATTATTTTGCAAAACTAATGGTATGAATGATGTGTTTATCACAAATATTAATTTTTATATTTATATTCGACGCTAACTTTATTGTTTGAAAATTTTATAACTCAAAATTGAAGCTGATTTTTGTTTTTGAAACTTTTAAAAGTTAAAATATAAACTGATTTTAATCTTTTAAATTTACAAAACAAAAAACCGCCTCGAATGAAGTCTTACATTTCTTGCCTTAACAATAAGTTCTTCATTTTTGTTTCTTCATTTGACTTTGCAATAAGTGGAAAATTAAATTGATGATTTGGTATATTTTTTTCAATTAATTCTTATGAAGCAAAATACTTAGTATGAACATGTTTCATCTTCCTCGTATTAGAACCTCTGAATGTTCTAATACAAGTCACAGACAGTCAAAAATCTGATTTAAGGTTTAAACATGAAAATCAAAACCAACAATTATAAAGCCCTAAATCAAACCAAACAACCATTCGTCAGTCATCAAGTTCTTCATGTAAGTCACATTGTTCATTCTTTAACTTGTTCTTTATTCATCATATTATTACATATTCAAGTTGTTTCCTAGTCATCATCTTAGTCTCTTTCGTCTCTTTTATCTTTTATTAAACTTAATTATTTTAAAAACTGAATTTCTTCAATATTGTATTTCACTGTGGCGGTGAGTTTGATAGGGGATTAATGTTTCAAGCCAGGACTCACATGCCATTGATAATGCCATTCACATACCACATTTTAAAGGTTACATAATCGCAGCACATTAATATGCAATAAGAAGTGGTGTCAAAGAAATTGGTTACAGCATCCACAAGGCATAATGAGTATGGATTGGTTGGGTTAGGTTTTGGTTCTCAGAGAAGATGGAAAATACGGGCACAAGAGTGCTAAAAAGGGAGTGGCAAGCTCTAGTATCAGCAAAATCTCAACTAAGAATCAAAATTAGAAAAACACAACACAACTTCAATTCTTTAAAACTTAAATATAACACAATCCATAATAACAATGATAAACTTACAAGACAAAATTCATAAAATGACAACGGTAGGTTTCCAAAAAAAAAACAGAAATCTCAGCTTAATATAAAAGTAACCCTCGATTGTCATCTCTAATAATTGCAAATACTCCCCACTATCATGATCTCCATGTCACATGAATAGCAGATTCTGCAATGAAGATTGTGAAATTGCATTAGAACAAGATGTGCAATTATATATGCATCTTATGAGCAAATAAGTCATAAAAATAAATCAGAATGTTGCTTACATATTTTATTGAAGGCCACAATGTCACAACTCTGGACATACTCGTTGATGGGCTCGACAGTAAGATAATCCTCAACCATATTGTCGACAGAAACCAGGTCATCCACGATAGTCATCATAATTTGAAGCTTCTTGATACCATACCCAACAGGAACAAGTTTGGCTACGACATTAATGAACAAATATCAGAATTAAGAAAGAAAGAATTTTGATTCTAAAGACTGCAACTTCAACTGATTGAAACTCATCATTAGATATCATATTATACAAAATATATCAGAATGAAAACAATCAAAAAATTGAAATGTGAAAATATAAGCTGTGATAAGAAAAATAACATACATGCACCCCATAACAACCCGTCCAACTTTACAGATCTCACTGCTTCTTCAAGCTTTTTCATGTCAGTTTCATCATCCCATGGCTTCACATCCAACAATACAGATGATTTTCCACCTGAAAATGTAATCGGCAGAAAACCAATAGCATAAGTTAATGTCCCACCAGATTTCAAATAATCATGTGTTGATAATAAGACAGAAACTCACTCTCTTTCTTTTTGCCAGATGCCTTCACGGCTGCTGCCCGTTCCTCGGCTGCCTTCTTCTCTTCCTCAGTCTCTTCACCAAACAAATCCACATCATCATCGTCATCATCCTCCGCTTCAGTGGCCTAACCAACCATTTACAATCAGTCACAAATCAACTAATAATTAGAGTTAAACATGACATCACCCACAGTTCAAGTATCAATCGTTTGTAATATACATACCTTTGTGTCAGCAGCTGGAGGAGTGGCAATAGCCTCTTCAGCCACAAGAGAAGATTCCACAATGACACCAGACCCCTCACCAGAAACACCACTACAAACACAACATTCAATCAAAAATTGAAAAATCTAACCAAAAATTAATGCATAGAGTTAACAGGTCAACATTGTTAGGGCCACACATATTAACCAAAGTGATAACAACAACAACAACAACAAGGGGAATAGACTGCATGAATTAATTTTCGCCATAAAGTTCTATCCAGAACCCTATTTCTATCCAAATTGTTAACGATCTATCCAGGACCATGTTTATCTTATAGTTTTTCTAGGTCTACCTCCAGATCACATAAAATCATTGTCAAACCACAACTATAACATCACAAAAAATCATTGCATAAATGGGAATGGAAACTTACGAAATTCTCAACAAAGCATCAATGTGCTTGTACCACCTAGCAACATTCACATATTCATGTGATGGAACTGATGACAAAGCTGAATAGACAGTGATATCATCCTTTGAAGCTTGGTACCTAAACAGATCAGGCATAAACACAATTCATAAAAAACAGAAAGAAAAAAAATCAAAAAAAAAAAAATAAATAAATAAAAAAAAAAAAACAATTTTTACATGACCTACCCAGTGATATAACTGCGTGTAAGAAGGTACTCGTCAAGTTTCTTCAACCCAGATTCAGACTTAAGGTTATACAATGTGACTGCCATTTTTTTTGTTTTTCTGCAAAACAATTATTACAGTAGCAACTATCAAGGATCGAACAACGTGAACTTGAGAAAATAAACAAAAATTGGGGCTTTTTGATAGAAATCAATCAGCGAGAGTAAATAATGAAAAAACCCTAATTAAAAGACAAATTCAGAAAGATAAATTAGTAATTCATGTGGGAAATTGAGTGTTTTTAACATCGACATAAGGAGTGAAAAAGGTGCAGATTGATGGATAAGAAATTGATGAAGGAGGTTTTACCTTGGGTAGAGAGATGCAAAGTTGAAGTAGCAGCAAGGAGTAACAACAACCGTGAAGAAACTTGTTATAAGTTGAGAACTAAAACCCTTACCCGGTTTATCAATTGGGTCATTGGGCCCAATTAGAACATTCGTTCAATATTTTAAAAAGGAATCACTAATCACACCCTAAATGGAGGAAAGCACTCTCATCGCTTTAGTTAAAACATTAAAACTGAGGCACACTCAATATATTTTTTAAAACTTATACATCTCTGGAATAATTATATATACACCTCGTACATCTCTCATTGAAACGCTCTTTTTTGTCATAGATTATTCTAGAGATGCATTTTCGTATTCACACCAGATAGAATCCGGAGATGCATTTCTGTAACCACACTTGACAGTAAATTTTAAGTTTGTTTTAGTGATGCTCAGATGAAATTGACGATATATTAAAGTTATACTATGATGAATTAGACCATACAGCCGATGTGAAAAAAATGACATATAAAATAATAAATCCAAAGTACACAATAAAGTCAAAATAAGTCAAAATAAAATACAACTGAAAATAAATCCAAAGTAAAAATAATATAAACTATTGCATATGACGAACTCGAGCCCCTTATTCCTACGATACCGCATGTACTGCATTGCTCTGCCATCATGGTATCTACAACGTCCCTGGCCTTAGAGTCATCCGTAAAAAGTCCTCTATCAATATTCGTCTGCCCAATCTCTATGATACGACGACATGTATGCAACACATCAACAACATGATTTGTCCTAGTCTTTTCCTCCCTTGGTATCTCCTGATGAGTTGACCTCGATGGATCTCCAAGAGCATTTTGCATCATTCTACATGTGGTCGGTCTGCTGCATGACGTGCTCAGGCATATGAGGATACCTCAGACATGAAATGTAAGCCAACCAGCCAAATTAGAAGGCAATGTTCTCCAAGGGGTACGTATCACGATGAGTGACGTAAGAATGGAAATGTATCTCCTATACTACCAAGCGATCAAGATACATTCATTATGGCTCCACTACCTGATTCCCTTTGAGCTAGACGAATATATAAGCATGTGGCATATCCTCAATTTATGTTTGAAAACATAACCAAGCGAATATGCGTGGAAAGTGTCGGAGGATCCAAGGCTAGGAGGTGTTGGAACATATTAATCATTAGTAATGGTATTACAAAAGTGTTATGAAAATGACACATAAGCACTAAAAGATCAAAAAATAATATTGTCAATAATGTGATGTTGTATGTCACCTATTTGGTCTTTCACATACAACCTTCGAATAACTTGGAGTACAAGTAGACCAAACAAGTGGTTCCCCTAGTTGTACTCATGGATCCGCTCGAAGTCATCAAAGTATCGCAGGTAGATGACATCCACATAAGTGGCACTCTTGTCCACAAAAATGGCAGTGTCAACCAAATACAACAAGTATGCTCTCATAGCGTATGTTCTATGTTACACAACCTGTTCGGTCTTCCATATACAGTCTGCATTGCTCTAAGTGGCTCTTTACACCTTCTCCAAGAATCGAAACCTAGCATGAACCCCTCAAGTGGCTTCAAACTCCTTCATGGAAGCCTCTGGGCCAACTTCCAGATCATCTACCATTATCTCTAGTGCATCATCTTTGTTAATCCTCCTATAATCTAAAAGTTTCCCCTTAATCGGAAGATACAGCGACACGAGACATCGTCTAGTATGATAGACATCTCACCATTTGTAAGACGAAATGATGACGCCTCTATATTCCATTTCTCAACAAATGCGTACAACATACCATGGTTAACTGTAACATAACCGATCTTGCACAAGTCTCTCATCCCAGGTAGTCGCAAAACACCCTGAAACCACTACTTATTATATTACTGCAAGTCAGTAATCTTCTACCCATGGTTGATGAATTTTAAAGCATCACGGTCCTGTAGAAAAATAAATCATCGTCAGAAACTATTATAACAAACATGATTTAAAAAGAATGAGTCCAACTAAATTTTACCTCTTTGTCCCATGCATGTTTGGAAGTATGGTCCAATGGAAATGCAGACCCCCAGAATAGTAAAAATAAAGTCCCCCAAAACATCAATGTGAGTTCTTTGATGGACTTGATGTTGATGGAAGAAGTTATGAAGTTGGTTGAATGATTTTGAGAGAATGTGAGTTGAGAGAGTTTGAGAACTTTGAGAACGTTTTTTAAGAAGTGAGAAAGGAGAAAGGATTCTGATGCGTTTTTGAGAATGTAAAAATGAACAGTTCAGTCATATAACTCAGACCTTATATAAATATTAGATTAGATTAAACCATGATAAATAAAATATTGTGGACTAAATAGATTTTTAATATCTACAATTTTATTTTTCTTTCATAAATAAATATAAAAAATCGGTTGATGAAATTTCAATTTTTTATAATTTTTTTAAATTTATTTTCTAATTTAGAATTTTGTTAGTTTTTTAAATAATTATAAAACAACATTCTTTAGACTTTTAAAAAGGAAAAAAAATTATGTATTAACTCTTTCAATTTGTAAAAAAAACTCGTATTTTATTGGTTTTGACTTGTTTGTACCAATTTGATTGTATAAGTGGTTTAATAGTTAACTCAGACGAATTATTCATTGATTTTCATTTCAATTGACTTGTTTGAGCTGATTTTTAAAACATTGTTCACATAAATTATGTCTTAAAAATTTCAAGATAAATGATTAAATCAATGGATTTATATATTTAAAATATATATTATTATATTTTTTTATAGTTTGATGACTAAATAATATGAAAACAAATTTAATGGTTTATTCTTCAATTTTGTAAATTTTGTTTTTAGTTGCAATAGGTCTTTAATTAATAACTTAATCATATTCTTAAAGAGCAATAAAAAATGGAAGACTTATAGTTGAAGTTAAACGTAGTTTTATTTTGATTTACCAAAACCTAAATAAGTTATAGGCACACTAGACTTCAACCATTTTACCTATAGAAAAAAATATCACCAAATATTTAAATTGAATAGACCATGGAGATGAGAGGGTGAAAAGGTAGGTGATAGGGTATTTATTGATTTTTGGGTTAAATATGTTACGGGTCCCTATAAATAATCTAAAATTCAGATTTAGTCCCTCTAATATTTTCGTTCAAAAAATCGTCCTCCTAAAGTTTTTCATTCCTAATTTTCATATTTGTGGTCTATTCCACTTAACAGCATCCTACGTGGACGCTGATTTGACTTTCTTTTTTAATTAATTGAACATGTATTAATTATCACATGGGTAAGGAGACTACACATCAACATATATGGTGAATGTGTAAATAGACTATGCATAAATGGATTGTAACCTAATTTCATTCTTTCGCTTTCGTCTTCGTCCTCTTTCTTTCCCTTTTTTCATCTGTGCCAAAATTATAACCTAATTTCATTTGTCTGTGTCCTCTTTCTTCTCCTTTGATGTCATATTCAAAAACAAGTGATACGAAACCCATTAGCATGTCTTTGTCATCTGTGCGAAGTTGTCGAGGAATGAATTGCGGTTGTGATGCTCGTATGGTTTCAAATGTCTGCAAGAATGGTCGCATACATGCTTTTTTGGAGATGTCTATTTTGGCATAGTGAAGAAACTTGTGATCTATTCGTATAGGATGAAGATCTAGTCGAAGAAGATGTTAATGGCATTGAACAGGTAGAAAAATATAGGATGAAGGAATTTAAGACGGTTGAGTTGTTGAGAGAGTTATATGAAGGTTGGAAGAAGAAGAACATGAAGATGCAAGCGAAATTGAGATCAGAGGCATGGGCTGGAAAAATCAAGCTTATCTGCTTTGTAGTATCTATTATGATTAATGTGTATCAATTAATGAAATGCAATTGTTGAAATAGGTTGTTTGATAAATGTAATGACAGTGTTACATTATATTTGTAATGGAATTGTGGTTGATCAATGTAATGGAATTGTGTTTGATCATTATGTTTCTAAGTGTTTCTATTGGAATTGTGTTTGCATTATAACTTCTAAATTTTGGCATAGTTTCTTTTAAATTTTGTCAAATTAACTTCTAAATTTTGTCAAACTGTCTTCTAAATTTTGTTAAAGTGGCTTCTAAAATTTGACATCGTGTCTTCTAAACTTTGGCATAGTGTCTTCTAAATTTTGCCTCAATTTTGGTATTCTATGCCCTAAAACACTGACATACTTTGCCTCACTTTTGGCATCATAACTTGACAAACAAACTTACATGAAATAAATTCATTAAAACTGATCTTACCTAATTAGAAAGGAATCAATGACATGTCACTCGTCGTTGACCTGCCAGCTGCTCACCAAAGGTATGGAAGTAGAGGGGGTGTATCTGAAACACACTTCGATGCCAAAGTAAGCGACGAGCAGAGTGGGAACAAGTACAGGGAGAGAGTAAGAAAGTTAAGTTACCTGACCCTCTAGTGAATATGGTATTTATAGTGACCCCCCAGCGCAGAGCCAACGGTTACCTAGCACTGGGCTGGGCTATCAGGCCCAATGTTAGTAATTGCTAGGGCTGACGTGGCGTCGTGAAGACCAGCACGTGGTCTTCACCCTAGGGTAACTGTTCCACGCTATCCGGGAGGAGGAAGACCGAATCTCTAGGACGTGGGTAGTTACTTTATGACGTGTCCCTGCGTGAGGGACACGTAGAGAACGTGGGGGAAGGCTCCCCGACGACGGGGAAGACAAAGGTTGGCTGGTCGGCTGCGAGG